ATGTGTAACCCTAGCCCCCCGATGACAGTTAGGCGCTGTATACTGTGGCTCTTGGAGCCTGTTTATGTTAGGCTTATGTGCAGTGGGCACATGCTGGCGATGGCTGGAGCATACTAATGCTGCCACTCATTCTCCTTCCTCTTTTGAGGGCAAGACTTTAGCCACTGACCTGTCCCTGGTTCTTACAGTGCAGAGGGAGAGAGCTCTAGAGTCGGTCAATTGTGTGTACCCAGAGCTGCCCAGGCAAGCTGGTGCTTGAGCTGCTGCTTGGTCCAGTGCCCTTCAGCCCCACCCCCCTGCTCCTACTGGGCATCTTGCCCTTTGGCAAAGCTGTGAATATTCATTCACTCATCCATGCAGGCTCAGAGTGGCCTTTGTAACTGCTCCCTGGGAAACCTTTGTGAGGCTGATAGAGGTGGCCCAATGCTGAGCACCCTGACAACTCTGTCTGGAGACTCGGAAGCTACCTTACCCCAGGTTTCTTCACAGCCGGGCTGCTTACGCATCCGCAGACTTTCTCTGTCACTCACTCTTCTGCTTTCCTTTCACTGTTGCACCCACCTACAGTGCTGGCCTGTTTCAGCTGCTCTCTGCGGCAGTGCTCAGATGTAAAGACCTGGATATGTGCCATTGGTGAGGTGGTTTATGGGTTATTCTTCCTCAGAAACCCAGGGCCAGAAGAAAGAGGTGTAAATGGGTGTCCAAGACATGAAGCTATTGGCTGGTGGCTGAGAAGCCAGCTAGGCAGAAGGAGGCAGGAGAGCAGTAGAGAGAGGTAATGTAGTAGCATTGTGGCCGGAGATGGCTGGAGAGTCACAGCAGCTCTCATTCTGCTGTGAAACAAATACAGAAGAGAGCGTGAGCATACCTCTCTTCAGAGCTGTGGTGTGACTGTGCCACAAAGTCAGATACTGGGTGACATGGGCAGGTGACCTCACCTCTTTGTGCCTCAATCTCCTGCTCTCTAACATGGGGATAATTATAGCACCCCCTCCTTCAGGGTTGTTGTGAAGATTAAATGGTTCATACATGTAGAACACCAGGAAAGTGCCAGCCCACCTACAGTAGTGAATGTCATACAAGTGTTAGCTAATGTTGTCACCCCAGGTTCATGGCCATATGCACGCCCTGAGTGTGGTGCGGGATCGTAGCAGAGCTGCCTGACTGCTCTGACGACTTCTTTTCCCAAACACTCTTTATGTAACATGTGTCCTTTTTTCTCCTCACAGAAATCATCTCTAATTTTCTCAAGTAAATTTTATCCCCAAATTGTTTCAAAGCCTTTCTGCCCCCTTCCATTTATATTGGGCATTCATTAATATTTTAGCAAAGTCACATGTCTCCACTGTCAGGAGATCAAGTCACCATGGAAAAGTGAAATATGCATTTTAGGTGATTGTGGTATCTTCTCCTATCTTTACTAGAGTTACTGACTGGCAGAAAATTTCATTGGTTTGCATTTTCACTACTTTTGTTTCTATTGCACTTTTGATAATGGTGCTAATGTTCAGTGAGACAGAAAATAGCCAGGTGTGCAGAAAGAGCAAGAGAAGAAAAGGACCAGAATAATCCATGAATTCGGATTGCTTTTTAAGCCATTGTGATGAATTCCCCCATAAGTGGGGCCACACACTAATGAGATAACTGCATAAAAGCAAGAATATAGTCTAAAAGTAACTGGCCCATCCCTAAATTCAGCCCATTACCTCAGCAACACACAGGTCCAGTGCCAGCAGGACATCTATCCTGGAAGTCATCTGGGCATCTCGGGCCAACATAGCCAGAATGGAACTTCTCCCTTTCCCCGTCTTCCTCTGTTTCCTAGCTCCATTAAGCATCAACATCAGGCCAGTGCTCAAGCTGGAAACAGCAAAGTGCACTCCTCTCCTGCTTTTCCTGCTCCCCACCAGGCCTGTGGGTTCCAAGTCCTGTCACATGTGCCACTAAATAGCGTCTTAATCTATGTCTCTTCCATATACCCACTGACTGCCTGAATCTATAATATTGCTCTATAACAACCACCCCCAAATGGTGGCTTACAAAACAGTCATTTATTATTTTCCATGTGTCTTGGGTCAGCTGATCTAGACCAAACTAGCTAGGTGGCTTGTACCATGTGCCATTGGAGGTCTGAGGTTGGCCGATGTAGGCGAGCTTGCCTAGGGTGGCTCTGCTCCATTATCTCTTATCTGCTCCATTATCTCCTTTCTGGCAGCAGTGAGCTAACCTGAGCATGCTCTTCTCATGGAAATGTCAGAAGCACAAGAAGTCAGGCTGACATACATGTCACCCTTGTTTCTTTCTACTGGCCTAGCTAGGCTTACGGTCTAACCCAAAGTCAAAGAGTAGCCAAACACACTTCACCCACTTAGTGGGAGTAACCAAGTCATATGGCAGAGAGCAAAGAGCTAGGGCAGGATAAAGAACTAGGGCCAATAATGCCATCTCCTGCACTGACTTGTTATCTCTCGTCTAGACTCTCCACTCATCTTCTAACTTCTGACTTTGTCCTTGGTTAACCTCCACCTGACTTGATGCTAACATCTCTTTGTTAAAACTTTCCATTGTCCCTTATCAGTACCAAATTGAGCTAAAGTCCTGTACAGCTTGGTTCCAATACATTTTTTCCAGCTGTATCTGTTGTGATGTTTCAGAATTACTCACCACCCCCTTCCAAATGTGCTTGTTTTTTGCACAGTTCTGTGCCTTCATAAACAGTCTTCCCTCTTCCCACTGTCATCTACCCCACATGGTGGTTATTATAAGTGAGATGTTGTTTACCTTTCAAGACCTATTCACTTGGCACCTTCTCCAGAAAGCCTCCTCAGAAACCCTCTGGAGAAAAAGTTGCTCCTTCCTTTGTCATGTGGTAGTAAATGGGAATTGTATCATGCTCATATTTAACTCATACAAATTAGGGAATACATGCTCAGCCAAAGTGGGGTCAGAGCGGCGGGGTGGGCAGGATTTAAATAATTCCACTCTGTGATCATGGAGCACTGAGATTTAACGCTGCTGTTGCCTTTGTCATCCTTTGGTTCCAGAAGCCCCTCAAGCTCTCAGAATCCTCTTGTAGAGTGAAAAGGGTAAGGGGGAATAGTGTTTAATAATACAAGACTATTCTTTTTTAACAGCCACGAAGCAAACCTGTTGTTTCACTAGGTATTCAATCAAAGGGACACCTATCTGACTGTGTTGTCTTCTTGTAAGCCAATGCCTTCCATACAGTATTAGAAATTTAAGAGACTTTCAGTGATAATATTGTCTATAGGTACTTTTTCTTTTATGGTGGCTTTAGGATCCAACCCTTGCCTAAGATAGTCTATTGTATTTCCTATAGGCACATATCAGGTTGAATTTTAATTTTTTATGTCTTTGTTTCCCAACTAAATCTTGAAGTGGCTTATGATTCTCATTTGTGGTTTATGGTTCTTCAGAAGGCTACTGCCTGTGGCTGGGCAGTGCACAAGTCTTAGGGTACACTATTCACCCCAGAGTCTATGTAAACAGACTCCTGTAGTAGTCAATCGTACCAGCTTTCTTGTCTCCCCAATGCCTAGTACATATGGCTTGCTAAAGGAATGTGTGAATGAATGAATAAATGAGAAAAAAAAAAGGCAACAACAAATTAAACGAACTATTCCCAAGTGAGATATCTAAAAGTCGGAGTTGAGACGAAAATTCAGATAGGTTTTGATCCAGCAAAATTAAAACTATGTTATTACAGTTGCATATGACGGAATATACCCATAAGTCCACTTGGAATGTCTGGTTTACCTACAACAACAAAAAAAATTACTTTCATCCTGTGAACTGACTTAAGATTATGGTTCCTGAAAGCACATCACACTTCTCAAACATGACTGACTGCATGGTTGCCCTACGCCTAACACCCTAGTAGACATTATGAGGCTCATGTGTGAAGACAGGTCTGGATTCTAGATGACTCTAGACCCCCAAGTCACAATAGACTTACAGATGTCTTGATTGCCCTTGGATGAGTCATAAAGCTTAAATATAGATGGCAAATAGAGCCATCTTTTAAAAGAGCAAGACGTTTGTCAAGTTATCTCATACGATATGCTGAATATTTCTGAATTAGAAGTATGTCAGTGTGGCCAGCAAACTGTTCACTCCATAGGAAAGTGTTTCCAAGTTACACAGTCAACTTCACACTTGAAACTTGATGCTTCCAGATGTTCTGCCAGAGGATACAGGGTAACTGACCCATCTAGGATGTATGGGCTTCTGAGTGGACATGGCCTGAGCAGAGTCCTAAAAGATAGCATTACACAGGCAGTAATGGTCCCACCCTGCATCCCTCACCCCTAACCATAGCCCCCGTGAGCTCCAACAGCAGGAACACTGTTCTTGTTCCAATTATTCTTCCCTGTATTCCAGCAGCAAGATGACCGTGATTAGGCCACCCATCATCAGGACACTGTTGGCAGAATGTCTCAACAGCCAGCACTTGATCTGTCAATTAGAGTAAGTGCCTAGCATAGCACCTAGCCTAGGTCATGAAGAAAAGATTCCATAAATGTTTGTTAAATGAATGAACCAAAGAAACCAATGAAATAAGCAAACCAGAGGAGTACAAAGGTATAGGGAACATTTGCTGAGTAAGGCACTGTAGTTACTTCAGGAAATACTAAATGGTGTACACTTAATGCTACAGCATCTTACCTAATGGGCCTGTTATCCCTTCCAGATCAATGGAGACTTGACTTTCTGCTGCCTAATAGAAAGTATACTCAACCCGATGAAGCACAGAACCAGAATTTTCCTAACACTGCCAGGTTGGGAACCACTCTTAGCGACAGTTCTTTAGTTTTTGGCTGCTACAGTACTGGAACAATAGATTTTGCACATGAACTTGGGATCAGGGAGGCAATCAGTTAGAATTTAGTTTGTCTTCCTGCCAAGGCTTTGCATGTCGTTACAGGTCACCTGAATGACATAGTCACAATTTGGGGACTTTTTTGTTTTTGTGCTCCCAGGTGAGCTTTCCTTGGAGGAGGCGCAGGACCCTTTCCTGGTCAGCATCCACATAATCGCAGACCCAGGGGAATCCCAGCCCCTGCAGGAGGCCATCGACAAGGTCTTGGCTTGGATCCACCCAGACCTCCACTTGTTCCTGGTCTCTGAAAGGAGGGCTTCCCGGCGGCGCAGAAAGCCCCCAAAGGTGGCGCAGCCGGCCCTGGCGGTGGTCCTCTTCCTGCAGGAGGAGTATGGTGAGGAGCAGATCCTGCAGCTGCACCGCACGCTGCAGCGGCCACCCTGGCGCCACCACCACACAGAGCGCGTGCCCAGCAGGTTCCTGCCCTACCTGCCTTGCAGCCAGGACTTCTTCACGCTGGCCCCCGGGACGCCGCTGTGGGCCATCCGGCCTGTGCACTACGGCAGGGAAATCGTGCGCTTCACCATCTACTGCCGCCACGACAACTACGCCGACATCCTCAAGTTCTACGAGCTCATCCTCAGGCGGAGCCCCAGCCAGAGGAAAACGGACTTCTGCATCTTCCCCATTTTCTCCAACCTGGATGTGGACATCCAGTTCTCCCTGAAAAGACTGCCCTGTGACCAGAACCCGGTCCCCACTGACTCCTCGGTGCTGGAGTTCCGAGTCAAGGACATCGGCGAGCTAGTGCCGCTCCTGCCCAACCCCTGCAGCCCCATCAGTGAGGGACGCTGGCAGACAGAGGACCACGACGGGAACAAGATCCTTCTGCAGGTACCCTGGGGGAGGTCTGACTGCGTCTGTCTCCTTGTCTGTTTGCGGGACCAAGAAACAAGTGGGTGGGCTCTGCCATAAACCCTAGTTAGTAGAACAATGAGTTAAGAAAACGAGGGGTCCCCCTGTCTGCCCTTAGACTAAGTATTCCAGTCAGGGTGTCTATACTCTACCGAAACAAAAGAGGAGGCATGGAGGCTCTTCCATGGTTCTTTTCACTTTACCATCATTGCCATGTACCTCAGGCAGCTGCCAGTCCACCCTGCCTCCTCACCCACCTGTGTCTGTGCACCCACTAAATGCTCGTGGCTCCTGGGGATTTCTGATGAGCTCGTATGGGGGGAACTTATTAAAGATTCCTGAATCTATTTCCTGACTCACTTAGGGAGTTTTTGTCAATGTGTTCTTCACTCCCATAAAGGAACTTAGGGAAAACCCGTGAAAATAGTAAAATATGGAAATAGTAAAATATATTGCAGTCAAGAGAGAAGATGTCTGTTTTCTTCTTCACTCTGATGCCACTTCCACCCTTCCACACGTCCTCCACTGAGCAGTAGGTTGTTAAAATTCAGTGACCACTTGAAAAATGACTTTCTCATAAACATTTTAAGGAGTAAGTGACACCTGTGGAGTTTCTGGTTTCATTAAGCTTGGGAAGGGATGAGTGAATATTTTTTAAGGAAATGGATGCAGTAGACTACCCTGTTCCTGCCATGGTTAACGCCTTTCTCCTTCTATCCCCCGCG